GGCCGAGTTAATGGCTTGAGAGTGCTGCAGGCATGACTTCTCAACCTTGGAGAAGTTGGATAGCCCCAGTAAACAATTATGACTCCATGCTGATGTACCTTCCTTCAGATGGTAGGAATATCTTTAAGCTTACTGTATCCTGTAGTCCATAAGCAGAACTTTCTTGTGGTTACTGTGATCCTTATTAATGATTTGTATTGAGATAATAGCTAGGAACCCCAGTCTTGGGCCAGGCAGTAGTGTGTACAGCACAAAATAGAAAGGCTGGGGCTGCTGGGCCCTCCCCAGGGTAGAGCTGGTATCTGGGAAGCAGATTGCCTCTCACTAAATCGGCCGGCACTTCCCAGGGCAGCAGAAAGATATGTAGTTTGCAATAGTAAATCCAAATAATGGAATAAGGCCTTGGAAGGGGCTAAATCTTTCCACTTCAGGGGTGGCATCAGCCTCCCCTGAACACTGACCGGTCAGGAGGAGGTTATCCCAGTAAAGCAGTTGGTGTTATACTAGGCAGGGTGGCCCCCCATTTGATTCACTCTGATAGCTCCTGGATTCCCCCCCAGGCACTGGGTGGGCTGCCCCAGAGATGTGCCTCAGGTCTGACCTTCTCTGGGAAGGGCTCCGGGATGCTGCCTTACCAGATTTTGTAGCTCCTGGTCTCCCTGGATGGCTCATGCCACACTATGTGAGTTTACTAGGTGGATGCTCGTCTGTTAAGAACCGCACAGGAACCCACCAGCTTGTTTCACACAGGCTTCCAAACAGCCATTGAACGACAGCAGCTTGCTAAAAATACGGTTCCACTCCCACCCCCAGTGTCATTGCACCGAGCCACTCCAGTCCCTTCCAGGTCCATTGGTTAGCATCCAGCCAAGAGTGGGTGGAGCATCTGAGGTCGGAGGGACTCCCTGGCCCATGAATTGTAGGAGGTAGCAGGGTTTCCATCCCTGCTGGGACCTGGCAGTGCATTGGGGCACAGGATCTGAAGGCCACCGGCTGACACCCCCTTTCCTTTCTGTCCCTGCAGGCAAGACAAGCTGAAGGTTCACATGAGGAAACACACAGGTGAGAAACCGTACCTGTGCCAGCAGTGTGGGGCCGCTTTTGCTCACAACTACGACTTGAAGAACCACATGCGTGTTCACACTGGCTTGCGGCCCTACCAGTGCGACAGTTGCTTCAAGACTTTCGTCCGATCTGACCACTTGCACAGGCACCTTAAAAAAGATGGTTGCAATGGTATCCCATCCAGAAGGGGACGGAAGCCCCGGGTGAGAGATGTTGGCGGCTTGGCCGCCTCTACAGGGAACCCCGAAGACGGAAGCTTTCAAGGTGATGGCGAGAATCAAGAGTCAGAGGACACCACGCAGAGAAACAGCCCAGAGCAGCACTTTGAAGATAGCCCTAACGATGAAGCATCAGGAAGTTTGAATGTAGCAGGGGGGTCATCTGAGGGTAACAACATTCAAGGACTCTCCTAAACCAAAAAAAAAAGGTGTCACAAAATCTAGTTAGTACTTTCCTCCAATTTCTCTTCAAAGATGTTTCTCTCCCTTTTTAAAACAAAATGAGATATATATATCTATAGATATAGGTATAGATATATATAGATATCTATATATATATATCTATATATATATGTGTGTGTGTGTAACGTTTCCAATCTTCTCATCATAGCCAGGCTTCCTTTGGGAAGCTTTTCTAGCCAAGGGCCTTTTCTTTGAAGGCAGATTCTTAGGAAGTTTGGGTTAAGGGTGGCAAGATGGGTCTGTAACATGGAAAGAAGCTTCCATGTAAATCCAAAGCTTTATTTTGTGTCCAGACACACTTAAAACAAATTCTGAGATGCATCTCTTTAAAAAAAAGAAATGATGGAAAAATGCTAAGAGCTGAATGAACTTTCCTGGGCAGTTGATACTTTTGGTGCCTCTGTTTGGCTGGACTGGGAAAAATCAAGCTTAGATTTTTTTGCTTCTTCTGTTTTGGAAAGATAAAGCTCCCGATGCCCGAGATGCTCATCGTAGGGTATCTGATACGTCCCAGGGGTTTGGGTCTTTCCTTCCCTGATGCTGAGTAAATTGAGGTAGCTTTGGCAAAATCGCCCTTCAGAGCAGCCCCAGTGCAATTATATTCACTTGCTATTTGTGTTAATGGAGGAGGTGGGGATTAGGGATATTTTACACATTGATTTAAAAATGTTTATGCCATGTGTGTAGACAGACAAAATTCTGCTCCAGACATCATGCTTGCAATGTCTACAGGGAAAACCAGGGTCCTTCCTATAAGTTTAGTACTTGTCCCTGACTGGGAGTAGGTTGTAATCCTGGCTCTGCTCTCACATCCCTTTGTGATGTCAGGCAAAGCCACTTTTCCATGGGTCTCAGCTGCCTCAGTTGTAAAAATGAGGCTAATGCTGTTTGTCCACATTTGCAAAGTGCTTTGAGATCTAGGGAGTCCACATCATGAGGGGAAGACTTAACTCTTCTCCTTCCAAGGCAGATGAGAAACAAACCTGTGCACTCTGCAAGGGAACTGCATGAGATTCTCTTGGACAAGACAGTGGTTTTCAACCGGGGTGCTGCTATTCCCCATCGAGGTGCCAGGATGCAGGTACTGCCACCATGGTAACAGCCACGAACATACTTCTGCTGCATTAGGGCTCTGATCAGCTTAAAGCAGGCAGGAGCTGGCTTTGCCATAGCCCACCTGTGTGCCTTTCTTTCCAGGCAGAGCATTGGGGCTGCTGGACCAAGAAGGGCTGCACAGCATGAGGCAGCTCCTGCCTGCTTTAGGGTGATCAAAGCCCTAATTCAGGAGTGCGCTCATGTGCCACAGCCCTTCCTGGACTGGCTGTGCAGCAGGTGTAGGCCAGCTTTATCTGGAGATAGCAACACCCAGTTGAGAAGCTCTGAAGTAGGTTGAGCAGCAATGACAGTGGTTCTCAACCAGGGGTGCCACCACCTTCCAGAAAGCGGTGCAGGAGGGCCGTGGCTCTGAAAAGGTTGAGAACCACTGCCTTAAGAAGTGGTGGCCTCGTCTGCTCAGGTGGCACTTTTCCTGAGAACGCTTGACGTGCCTGGTGAGCAGTACATATATACATCCTGTCCCCCACCTCAGAGATGGCTGTATTTCAGCCGGTACTATGTGGTTGTAGATTGTAATATGGTATAGCACTAAAAGTCTTATGTGAGTATTAGATGTCAGTAGAAAGAGAACCTTGTGGCAACAAAACTAACTCCTCCTTGCATATTGATAACCCTGAGTGGGACAGGGAATATGAGAAAGCAACAAAAATTCCAGACAGTCTCTGTTTCAGGGATGAGTTAGCAACACCTGCTTTATTTTGTAGTGCCTGGCTCTGTGATGACAAACTCTAGGCATAGTAGAGCCAAGAGCTGTTCCATTGCACCTGGGACATCCTGACTTTCCCTTTCGCGACAGCACTTACTTTCTCTTCCCTGTTTATTCATACTCTACTCCCAAATCCCAACTCCAGTCATGAAGCTATGGTCATCTCTAGGATAGGGCCTTTGAGGCTCACAGGCACCCAGTGATTACTGGGGTGGCTTTTTAACCTCAGCCTTCAGCCTTCCTGAGTAGCTGCTGCATGGCCTAGTGACATTCCTTAGCACTTGCTACATTGCACCTTTCAGCCCAGGATCTCAAAGCACTCGGTTCCAAGATTATTTAAGTCAAAAGAATTTCTTGGGTGAGGATCATCTCGGAGATTTTAGGAATGAGAGTGATGGTGTCAAAGCACACCCTAAAAAGGAGCTAGAAATGAGAGCTGTCCTACAAAGGTTATTTAGGATTTCCCTTAAAGCTTCGTGGAATCATTATGGGGAGAGAATTGGTAGGGCTAGAAATAAAAGTCTGCTGAAGCTGCTACCCCTTTAAGGCTTAGGGGCTTTGGAAACGTATCTCCTACGAGCACCTTGTGCTGGGTCATCACACACCCTGACTTCTGGGGTACGTAGTTCTGGTCCATCAGACGGGCACCAAAGTATTCACTGTCCAGCAGAGGCAGGGACTGTTATATATTTGAATTGGTGGTGCTGAAAGCCTAGCGCAGAGGATACCAATGGAACAAAGGTGCTGGCTGTGCCACGGGGGAGAAGAAGCAGGCTGCGGGCCCACCTGCCCTCTGCTTAATGCAACACGTAGCAGGTTCCTTCAGCATCACCCAGCGCCCTGTTTCAGTGCCAAACAGACTTGGAAGTGACCTGTCTGGGAGATCTTTATGATCGCAGGCCAGCGACTCCTTGAGATAAAGAGGGTCAGCCCCTGTTCTGCCTAACAAAGGCCCCTTCCCAGCTCTCAGACAGCACTGAAAGAGCGGAAAGCAACTAGAAAATTACACGCACAGCTGGGCTGAAAGAGGAAAGAGGCAGGGGTTGCTTTCAGCTTCTCCAGCATGTAGGATCTTGTCCCAATGTAGCTCTTTGGCTTGGGGGGTGATGTTTTACCAGTCGAGCTACGCTGGGGCAGTCCCTCGTGCGGTCTCAGTCTGAGCCATGTAAAGGTCATTGTACTGTCACATGCAGGAAGGAGAGTCGCTATGCCGGTGTAAACACCTTTGCCCCAGTTCACCAAGCTACCGTGTAGGGCTTGAGGGTTGTCACTAGCAGTCCTGGCTCCGTGATCTAAAATATCTCTCAGGGGTCACTCCCCAGCCTGTTCCCCAGCTCTCTAGCGAGACAAGTTCATGCATATAGAGACAAGTAGACGGGTGGGTACACAGCACACCCCGCTCCAGGTTAGGAGAGGACAGATAAGGCACCTTTCAGCCATTCACCTGATTTTTAAATGCACAGTGTAAAATGAAAAGAGATTCTAGTCCTTTAATTTTAAAAGCACTTTTTAGATTCTTTTTTGTTTCTTTCTTGATTTCCAAGTGAGAGCAGGTTTGGCTGAATGTAATTGGAGCGGGAGTGAGATGGGCGTGTGAGGGGGGAGGGGGCGTGTGGT